TACCACACTATTGATTTTAATCATCTCCTTAAAGCCCCTACGTTTAAAGAATAAATACAAAGAAGACCCCAATGGATAAAGACAAGAAAAATGGAAAACACACCCAAACCAAAAAAAAAAAAAAAATCCCTGTTCAGTTTTGGAGGAAAGGCCTGGACAGTATTGGCCTCCTTAGTCACAAGCATATTGCGTTCTATACTGTAGGCGACATCACCATCCAGACATTCAGCAGAATGTGAAGAAGATGTGTAAACAGGTGTCTTTGCAGGATTATGTACGGGACACAAAATACATGTGAAACTCTTAACTGTTAAGAAAATGTGACAGACTCATTACAGGCAAAGTGAGATTTATTATAATATTGATAATTTGTAGCTTGTGAAACACTGAATATAACATCTCAGATAATTAGAATCGTTAGAAAATCAACTGTCAGCCATAATCATCCAAATGCTATCAAACAAAGGCTTGGCATATGTCCCTGTGCATGTAATTTACTTAAGTAGCTATTGAGCTATTAAGATTGACCAATACTAATACAAACATAAAATATTATCCATACACAATTATATTTATTGTTTTTTTGTTTTTTTTTTAAACATACACATGTCTGTAAAATTGCAAAAGTAAAATTGCAAAAACACCTTTGTTGGTGGAATTGGTGTGAGTTCCTGTCGGCTGAGGTGGGGTAAATGACACATGGATCAAACTCCAGCTATTAGGAGTCAAGAAAAGTTTGATTCATAGACATTGTATCTGGCTTGTCTTTTTTCATCCATCCTCTTTTTAAAGTTTTTTTTTTCCAGATTAAAATATGTTATACAATATATATATATCATTTGCCCAGGGTTAAATATGAGCTGCCAATCAAACTATTTTGATGATATATACACTGATCCTGAGTATGTTTGAATTGAATACGTGATTCTGATATTTCGGGGGGCACTTAAGGGAAATCCATAAAAAATATCCTTGAACTGAGTCAGTTCTCAAATCCAGTAGTGTAGATTTTTAGTTAAATATGTAGTTTTGTTCCTTTGTCTCTGTTCCACTGTCTCTAATTGAGGTTTCTTGGCTCTGAACCCCCTGCTCTGGCTCCTGCTGCCCAGGCAGAGTGCTTGTTAACCGGGGGATCTGTGTGTGCGTATATGGGGTCTGGGGAGCACTAATGCTGATGATGACTGGAGCTTGATTGACCTATAAATGTGGCACTCAAGCCTTTTAAAGGGTTTTCAGAGCAGAAATGGTGTCACGGACACTAGTCCGAGATGACAAGATGTAGTGGTAGGAGAAGCATTCAAAATTTTCTTCAAAATATATAGATGTGGTAATGGTTTATGAGCTAAATTATGATTATTAAATTATTATGGTTTTTACATTCATTATTGTTCTACCTTATAGTGCTTTTTATGGTACCACAATGATTTCATAATGATTAAACTACTTGAATTCATCTCTATTTAGGTCCAGCTTATGTCATTTGTTCAGTATTGATGATTTCTCTAATACATCTCATTTCAATAGTGGTGTTAGTATTGATCAATGACTGATCCTCTATACTTTTGACTACCCCAATTGATACAAGTTAAAATCAAGTGCCGCTTCTTTTTTTCGAAGTAAGTGATGTCACGATCCAGAACCTGTAGGAAAAAAAATTACAACTCCATTATTCTAATAGCATACTGTCTGGAACTAATAAACTGTATATGCACTCATACTGAATAATGAAGCCCCATTGTTTCATTAGGAAGTTTTAGTCGTATTTTTAGTGTGCAGCCTCAGCACTACTGACACTACTCCCCTTTGGACTGGCTCAGTGCTCCTCCTCTCTGCTGATGGGACGGGCGATGATTGAGCACTAATTTGTTCAGATTGCTGCTGTACAGTGGGGGCCGGGTTGGACTTAAGCCCACGGGAGAAGAAGCCTGGTCAGCCTCCTGCTCTGAGTAGAGCCTCTTAGCCTAGTCAAGGTGACAGTGATCCATGTTGCTCCACAGAGACTGAAGTGTTGGATATAATACCATTAAAACACTGCAAATGGATAGAAAGACCATGGTGCGGTAGAAGTTGGTGAAATCTGCTCCTGGGGGTAAAAGATGGGGCCTGATGGGGATGGTTTGTGGTTTGGAGTCTTAATAGATACTGCGCACTGAAGTCCCCAGGCTTGGACTTATCTGACAGCAGCACTTGATTGAAAGATGTAGTATTGCAGCAAGTCCACAGATCAATTATACCCTAGTGTATTGGACCACTGAAGAAATGCCACCAACGGAAGATGAATGATCTATGGTTGTCTGAAAATGGTGGAAAAAGAGGTGAGAGGTCCAATGTGGTTATGGTCCAACCTGTATTATTCTTACATTTGTTATAGCTCAAATTTGAGCTAAACAGTTTTCAATAATTGACAATAAATTAAGTAATCAGGTCATCTTTAACTGCTCTACACAAACATATGGGAATTGGGTAAATGTCTTTATCTTATTAAAGTTTGCACAAAATATCACACAGGCAATCAACAATAATCAATATAATGATTATTCAGTTTTTATTGGTAATTATCAGCATTCGAACTGCACAAACTGATCTCAAACATTGTTTAGCAAGATACGTATTCTAAATATAGGGATCAAAATCTAAACCTTTTGGCTAAAAAACTAATATTATAGAAGCAAAAAAGGTTGCGAGCTTGCCATTTTAAAAATGCACGCATACTCGATCATTAGGCATTAGAGCCATCTCTCAGAGCAGCCGTTTCCGTCTTTCCTATAAACCATGGCTTAAACCGTGGTGTCCCCAAACCCATGAGTACCCATGGGTTATCTGTGTAAAACATAATGGAACAGAACAGTGTTTTTATATAGGCTACATGGACACAGGGCTTTTCTGTGCGTTATTTTAAGGCTCATAACTCCAACGCTGATGGGAGCGTGACACAGAGACATTTAAACAGTGTCGCACCTCATAAAGCCCCACGCTCCAATGGACAGGCCTCCATTCAGACTCCCAAGTGGCAACAGTGAAGTGAAGGCTATAAATTCCCCACTGAGGCTGAAAAAGTCTTTAATATTAAATCTATTCATTTCAGTGAGTATTCAGTTTCAGTTGAACTTAAAGGGAACATATGCAATATTAATTATTAGTGGAAAAATACAGTCATTACATACAATCCAACATGTGTTTCCAGAATCTAACCTACATGTTTCACATGGAACTTCTCACATGTCACTGATTCCTGATGCAATCCACCTGCTGGGATTTAGCTACATATGGTACTTATGTTCAAAACAGATACAAACTGAACTGATATGGGCATCATATGTCCACTGTATTTTTACAGCATTCCTTCTGAAAAGGTCAGTTGTGATTTGAAGAAAACTTGTTTTTGGGGGAGAGGGCTCGCCTTTTCACAGATCTAAGTTTACATCTGTTCACATGGGTCTGTCATGAGTTTCAACTGTGTTTCAACTATATAGATAGCCTCTCCTTCCATCATTGGAAACAAATAATAATTTTAGTTGTAATATATGATTGTTTTCCACTGTCCTATGCTTTTAATGTTAATTCGGCACGGTTCCAACCAGTTTTGATCATTTCTGATGTCAAAATCGCCAAAATCCTGTTTTTTCTATTTAAAAAGACGAGGTGAGGCAGCGCTCATACGTGCCTCACCCCAGATCGCTCGCTCCCTCACAGTGGACTGTGCGAGTGCACTCAGCTCGTGCTGTTGATATATCGCTGTTTGTTTCAAATATCCTGCTTTGAAAACAATTGCTAAACTTCTCATAGTGTTTAGTAATGTATTGCACGAATGTATGTACTATTTATATTTAGTTTGCCATGGGACTACGGATGAAAATTAGCCTACATGGCTAACTCTGGCACATTTACATGTTAAAAAACACATGAAGATGAATGTGCACTGTCCCAATTCAAATAAAGATAAAAAAAAAAAAAAAGAAGTATTTTGATCGGAGAATACAAAGGGAAAAAGCCTGCAGTATCTGTGCCTCACCAATAGGGAGCGCAAGTGAGCATGAAGTTCATGCCCGAGACGCTAACAAACAATCAGCCCAATATACTATTTATTTTGCTGGAAAATGGATGATTTGATTGAAGATTATTTTTATCAACTGGACTTTCAATCAAAGCAAGAAGTAAAATAGACTGAGAGACCGCTGCTCATGGACTTACGAGGTTAGTCCGGCCGCGGGGGAGGAAATTGTCAGTCTCTGTGTTTTATGTTGAAAATTGACTAGATAGCTGCATAATAGTGCTTCTCTGAAAAGACTGATTCAAACACTGCTCAAGAGTTCTGCAACTTGTTTAAATTCTTGTTTATGTTCCTCGCGTCTCTTTCTCTCTCTCCTCACGTCTCTTTCTCTCTCCTCGCGTCTCTGTCGCTGTCTCTTTCTCTCCTCGCGGCTCTCTCTCCTCGCGTCTCTCGCACCTGTGCTTCTTAAAGATGTTGTTTGATGCGGAGAAGAGAGTCAGCAGCTAGATTTGTTGTGAGATTTTTAAAAGAAGCTATATAAAGAAGATATATATATATATATATATATATATATATATATATATATATATATATATATATATATATATATATATATATATATATATATATATATATATACATATTGGTATTAATAATTCAGAAAGTCTGCTCTCACAGATAAACTGTACACCTATGTGCCTTGGACCTTAATCATTCGTCCACCAATACTCTGTCATTTTAAGTATGCAAATGTATGTAAAGAGCATTCACGCGTGCCAAGTTTCTGTCTGCTTTCTTATGTCATTGAGTGAAATTCTCTCCTGTGTCTTCTCCTCTTTGACCACAGTTCAAGATGGCCGCCCTGTGCATGACCCTGAAGCATTTGAAAATATGATTGTAATCCTTGTGAGGATTTGGCCTGGGTGTCTATTACCGCTGTAATCTGTCACACTGGCATCCAATATTCATCCATGGTCCAGGTTAAGCCCTCTTTTCTCTGTGCATCGCCATGGGATACGCTAGGAAGCAGAATTTGGGAGGAAAAATCCTGGCACCCCGACTCAGCGAGGAGAGCGGAGAGGTTTGGAAAGTGAGAGAGGACCACTTCAATCAGGCCCCTGGGTGGAGCTGCACAAATGTGTGGAAGAACACAAGGTCTCATTAAAGCAGCAGGGAGGGCTTTTACCACAGCCACACACCCACACACACACACACACACACACACTCTTATACACACACACATACACACGCTCATACACACACGCACACAAACGTCCACACATACACGCATGCACACACACAGACACACATACAAACACAGGCATGGAGAGGTGTGTTATGGAAAATAAAAGAACAAAATACCAAAGAATATTTCCAAATAAAAAAGAATAACATATTAACTACTCGATTAATCCAACAATTGTAACTGGAAGTTCTTATTTGTGTGTTTCGAATGGATTGATAAAATCCATGATATAGGGATGGCTTTACTGGGCCTCTAAACGGTTTTCAACTTTAAAAAACGATTTAAGTGGTCTACATTAGATTATTCTACACATCCTTGCTCTTATTTGGATGTTTTAGTGCATATAAATATTCCAAAGCAGCGCCTGTAATAGGTTCAATTACTGCAGACATTTGCCAGTTATATGCCATTTGCATGTTATCACTTGAAGTTGTATATATTGAATAATCATGCCCTGTACAATAATTATAAACGTTGATGCTTTATGGGGATTTCACTGATAAGTCATGTACACACAAAAAATCTACATATCAGAGACTCATAAAACACATTTTATGAAAATCTCCACAATAAAATATTTGCTGTTTCAGGAGCTTGGTGCATTGGTGAGGAAGCAATTTGTTAGTGTCATTAGGCGCGTGCGGCCTGGGTATCGATATGTGTTTAGTGCTTAACTGCTCCAATCACTCTCCATCTGTCTGCGTCGCCTGTGTGCTCTGCATGTGTTTTCATGGACGACATCTCCAAACACTGCTCAGCTGTGGCGGAAAGTCTCACTTTTTGTTTCGGTCAGATATAGATTCAATGCAAAATTCAAATGAATGGGCTTTCACGTCTCATTTGTTATAACTTTAGATTTGAAACAACACATTAAATTAAATTTAATATAATACTTATTACTCATTGCATGCAAAGTGACATATCCCAAGCCTTTGTAACACAGTGGATTATTACATTATTTGTTATTGTTTTAATATGTTAGACTGAATTTAGTCTCTTATATAATAGTCTCATATTTGTAATTCAGACCCCATGAACCTTGTTTGTGTTTTGTCTCAGGAAAGATCATGGGCTATGAGTACTAAAAACAACCTCAATTATATGCAACAAAAATATATAGAATTGTACAAATATCTCTGGCAGAATACTTCTGGCCAAAAAAGTGATTTTTATTCATTTCACTGAAACTTTCTAGAAGGCTGCTTATCCGTACCTTGGCAGTCAGATTGCTGGTTTCTTTTATCAAGACTTCACATTACTTTCTATGGTTCTGGAATGCAGTCATGAGCAGCCAGTGATAAATATAATTTGTGTTTATAGTTTTGGATTATGTTCTTAAATAGAGAGATAGAAAATGCTAAAACATGATCATTTTTGGAAGTAAAACTCTAGACACTAGATTGGAGTGCTCCAAGGTATGAGGAAGACCCTGACTCGTGGTCTGTTTGGAACTGTGTGTAGTAGTGCTGCAGACAAACGAGAGTCATTATTATTAATAATTGTGTTAGTGTGGTTTGAGTCATGCAAATTATATGTTTAACTGGGTTTAACAAGGAGATACTGAATATTTGCAATTGTAGATGTCTGCATTGCTTTCTGTGGGCTCCTACATCTGCTTGTTGAAAGGGAAAACCAGCAGTCGTAATTATAGTTTTTAAGCTTGGAACAAATGATTTAAAATGAATAGAGCATTAAATTAAGTTTTTACTGCTCATTAACCTGAATTTTTTTTGGCAATGTGCGTATAACTTAGCTTAGTGAAGTCACTCCAACATAAAAACATGTAATGCTAGTGTATACTGTGGAACATTCAAGGCAAAATCACAATATTTAAATAGAACCAAGCTAAAAAAAGTTGGATATATCTGTTCAAAAGTTCATTTATTTCTGTAATAAATGTTCTGTATTGCCTGCCAGCCTATTTCAGAACAGGTACTCCCATATTGCCAGCAGTTTCCGATGATTTGTATTGATTTTTCAAGACCCACAGAATATTGTACACTATGACTATCTGAAAGAATGGCCTGTCTACTTTCATCAGCAAAAATTTACAAAATTCTAGCTTGTTTCGTTCCCCTGTAATCCCCAGTCGAGTAGAGGGAAGTTTTACTGAAATCACCAGTCTCAGACAAAAAGCTGAGAAAAAGAGGATGCAACAAGTGCATCCTGTTTTCAAAACATACAGAGGCAGCGCTGTTGCCACCTTCTTTGATAAAATATGCTCTAAAGCTAATCCCCATACATATTAGCAGTGTTGGGCACGTTACTTTGAAAAAGTAATTAGTTATAGTTACTAGTTGCTTCTCCCAAAAAGTAACTGAGTTACAAACGGAGTTACTCCACTATAAAAGTAACTAGTTTCCAGTAAAAGTACCTATTGCGTTACTTTTTCGTTTTGTTCTGGAACATAATGTGCACTCGACGTGCGCATTTTTACCTTTAACCTCAGTTAGTCTGAAATAGTGCCAATATTTCCATCTAGAAAAGGCTGTTTTGCTGCTCAAGTCCTGTTCACTCTTCATCTCTCTCTGTGCTGTAAGCACTAAACACCAACACGCTCCACTGTGAATGTGGAAACACCGGTGAAGCACTGACTTCAGCCCAATCAGATGAACGTATACCGACTTCTGCGCTCACATGCGCTCCTCTGAGGCTGGCCTCACGGTGATTCAAGCCGTGGTTGAGCGCGATTAAGACCCATATTTGTTTAAAAAACACAATTTATGAGCCATCTTCTCAACTGTAGACATGCAGATTGTAAAGGAAATATGTTTTACATCAGCCAATAATTGGTGAGAGGTTTTCTCATCCTCCCTTCTCTCATGACAACACTCGCACGAGTCCTATCACGAAGTAAAAAGAGAAGTTCAGTGTGCGTCTTGAGTAACGCGCAGTAACGGGATGTCGGAAATGATAACGGCGTTATAGTTACAGTCAAAGTAATTAGTTAGATTACTCGTTACTGAAAAAAGTAACGCCGTTATTCCCATCACTGCATATTAGATATTATAGATATCCTCGAACATGAAAATAGCGGATAACGCAATTGACGCATTAATGTGAGTTTTATATATCTCACTTTGTTGCATAATGAATCTCACCATGTGAGTTGAATTATAAAAGTGAATGGATTTTTTAATGATAGATATTTATATTTTTCACTGTACATCTATCTTGTCATTCAAACAAACCTAAAACCATATTAACTCTAGCAGACAAAACAAACCTTTCTTAATCAAGCAAACTGTAAACCTTGCAGTGACTACAGTATGTGTTGAATGAGACTAGACCGTGGAGCCGGAACTTGCTGCCCCATTTCATGCCAGGCCATGTTTCCCCATTGATCATTTAAAGAATTCCACATATTAGTGTCACACAGAGAGAAAAGAAAGATGGCGGGTGATTTTCCGATTGGATTTTGTGTCTGGGACAGGCGTCAGAGACATGTGTCAGACAAACAGATTGGGTTGATTGGTGGTGGCCATCTATCCTGAAGCTTCGTCGGCACTCCGTAAATTTATATTCCCCCCAAGTCCTATCCTCCATCAGAGTTCAGCGAGAGACCAGGCCAAGGCTGTCAGACACACAACCATATCTTATTTAGGCCACACTCTGCCAAAACGATGTCCCTGGCCGAAATAATTCATATGCGTGTGTGAGTAATGGGCACAGTCAGATTTGGCATGGTGCATCTATGATAATGAAATATATTATTCCTCCATTGTTAGAGGCATCATTGGTTCACCTTTATCAATGGGTATGTCCTTTCATATTATTTACTATTATATTCCATGGTAATTAGTTACATATTATTTTGTTGAATACTTTTAATTCCCCACCTTACAGAGACGACATCAAATGTTGTTATTTTATTGTGTGAATTCAAGATATACAGTTGTGTTTGAATACTTACACAAAGACAGAAAACCCACGCTTCATACAAAAAATTGCCAAAACAATGAAGCTGTGTGTTTTTTTATTCATATATTACATTTAAAATCCACATTTTGCCCAGAACCTTGCAATCAACTGTTGTTCTTGTGACAAACAGTGTGGTAAACCTTCAATGGAAGATTTTGATCTGTTTGGATATTTTCATTAGCTCAGACATACACTTTTAAATCATGAAAACAAGGGAAAGCACTCTGTCAGATCCCAGAACAAAGCAGTGGAATCTAATTAATTACTCACTCTGCAGCCTGGTTAAAGGCACACCGCGGACTTTGTGACCTAAAGAGTTGACACATATGAGTTATTTTATATGAATACTTGGGCCAATATACAGCGCTTGACACTTGCAATGCTCCGAGCGGGGCTGCCCTCTTGAAATACCGCCCATGTAAGTTTCGAGCAGACGGACCGTCTGCCACCAGGTCACGTGACTTGGAAGAAAGACTTGCTTTACGGCTACAGGCGCTGATATACTCATGGAGCTAAGGCTTTTGCTACTCATTTTTCACCTGCTCGACTCCTGGTCATGGCTGAGGCAAGGAAAAATTTTAAACCTTCGGAGGAGGCTAAAAAGAGGAAACGCGAAAGGGATCGTGCTGTAAGCTGCATGTCTGTATGAGCGCTGCTCTTCACCTGGTTCCTGGATGTCATCGACTGCAAAGATGTCATTCCACGCAGCACGAGCTAGACGCAGAACTCCCTCATCCAGGATATAGAAGTCCATGTGTGGTAGATTACTAATGCAGCGGTCTGGAGGCTGACCACAGCAGAGTCTCTCAATATCTGTAGGCATGTCTCTACAGTTTGAACACACACACCAGTGCATGCTGTCTGAATACACACTCAAAAGACACCGGCTGACTGTTTGTTGACTTTTGCGACAGTGCTGAGTTGCTTGTGGCCACTAGGGGCGCTAAACGTGAAAGTTGCAGGTCTAGCGCCCCTAGTGGCCAAGAGTTACACGGTGTGCCTTTAATTGTATTACTGACTTTATTGGTAAAATACCGTGAACACAACACAGACTAACAACGCATTACAATGTTAATAGCCGGATTAGGCCTCTGAGTTTTGGGCGGGCCCTCTGTGGCTCTGTTGGGGCCAATTTAGCGTGACCCATCCTCTGTAGTACGGCCCCAGCGCTGTCTCCTGGCCGTTTCCGAGATTAATTGCGATGTCTTTTGCAATTATCAGAATAGTGTTGTCATGTCAGGTATTAAATATGTGCGTTAATCAGCAAACTAAGCTCTCAATGATCCCCCACAGTAAAACAGGAATCCTCTATTGATTCCAGAAGGCGTGTATGCTCAGCAGTTTAGCCCTGTCTCCTCTCCTCTTATCGATCCTCATAAAGGCAGTATTTTGTCGTTAGGGGAGAAGCGGCACAGACAGTAATGAAAGGTTAACCTGGTGTACGGCAGAGCGCAAGACCACTGCGGCCAGGGTTGCCAGGTGCTACACGCAGCAGATTCTCAGCAGCCACAATGATCGATGAGGATACATCTTTGTCTGATTACAGAGACGAGCATGTGCCTGTGTCTGTGGTGTGTGTGGGGAGGAGGAGGGAGGGAGGGGCGGTTACTGTAATAGCTGCCGAATGTGCCTGTTTTAGTTGTAAAGTGGCCTACAGCGTTTGACCTCATGTATAATAGATAAAGTAGATTCACTTCTCGTGTTTGGATCGCACAAGGGTTCGGCATTATAGGGTCGGGTGGCAAGAAGCAGTAATCCAATACGTTTTATGATGGATAAGAAAAAATGGAAACAGGTCCATTTGCAGAAATAGGTATTTTTAACACAACAATGGACACATTAAAACCTCTGTGGAGAATGATTGCATTGTGGCTACATGGGTTTAATACAGTGCTTCTCAATTATATTCTGCTTCTCGGAGTCAAAAGAGTCAAATTGTAACTCACAGGGCTAATTCAAAATAAATATATATTTTTAAATGTATTAAGGTGAAGATGGCCTGTTGTGGTTTGAACATTTTACTCTTGGCCAGCATGCATTCTGGGAGGGACAAGTTTAGTACCCGAGCTTCAATAGTGAGTTTTAGATGAGCTTCAGGAGGAAACACAGACCCAGGTCTGTTTCTTGAGGTGGTATTTGTCTGCAAAGATGAACACTTTGGGGGAATAGTCTTGTCAGCTCTGGTCACATTATGGCCATGCTACGTCGTCACCCTAACCCTAAGCGGCTGTTGTTATTCTCCAGAATGCACCTATGACCAGTTCCCAGCCTTTATCTCTCTCTACAACAAGGATACAAGATACAAGATACAAGAATTTATTTGCCATTTGCAGCAATGGCAAAGCTCTGTGACTGGAAAGTTCTGTGACACAATGACACAGAGGTAGAGTTCACATAGCTCTGATAGTAAAGCCACAGCACATTAAATCACCGATCATCAGTAATCTCATCAATAAAAAAGTCTTCACAGGCCTAGGATATTCTTCTTGTTGTCTTTCCTGTTAGGAGCCATTTGAACTGTGCAAACTTTCAGAGGCCGGAGGCAGGACGGGGATGTGAAACCACCAGTGTGATATAAAGAACAGTTGCATGTGTCTTTGTAAATGATGCTTACCTGTTGATGTAAATAATCCTGCACTATGGCGTGGCCATGTCTGTGACTGTAACTGGTAAAGCCAGTGTTATAGGCACAGACAGGATTTAATGGGTCCTTCAAAACTGTGATGGCCCAGCACAGTTATGGCTCATTGTCACCTTGCCTTCGGAGGACAGAGGAAAGTTGCAAAGCTTATTAGGCGATTGGGGCTGTTTCTAAAACGTCTGGATCACTGGCTCTGTGCTTCATTAAAGCGCTATACACTGGGCCCTTCTCCTCTCTCCTCACGCTGTGCTGACATCTCCACCTAATCAAGTAGTGGATTATCTTGTCCTGATAAATTGGAGCTTGTAGCACTTGAAAGGTCCTTGTGGACAAGCAGAGTCCCCCTCTGACAGGCTGATCGAGCCCTCGGGGGAGCAGGAGAGAACACAGGCCCCCAATCATTTGTGGTAAAATGGACAAATGTTTTTAGAAAGACCTCTTTCAAGCAGGGCTCTGATCAGTTTATGTATCGTAGGAAGTTTGAGGACATGTTTTAATCTCTTTCAATCCAACACTTGTATTGTCTTTTATTCAGGCCACTTTTGCATGAACAATATCCATCTAAATGCAAATCCATATAACTTCAATAAGTTTCATGTATAATTGGAGTACAGTCCTCCGTGTCAATCGTCACCGACATACATTATTCATTCATTTCACACACTTTGGAGATGAAAACTGTACTCCTGCCACAGCTGCCCCAGGGCAGACTTAGAGATAAGTAACAGTGTGAAATATAATACTATAATGCATTTTAATAATTAAGGCTTTATTATGGGGCGACAGTAGCTCAGTTGGTAGAGCACTGGCCTTCAGGCCTGAAGGTCGTGGGTTCAATTCCCACCTCCACCGACTCCCACTGATGACTGCTGTCGTTGTGTCCTTGGGCAAGACACTTAACCCCACTTTGCCCAAAGCCCCCGCTGAAAGATCAAGGCTATGCTCACACTCAGAGAGCAGCCATCCTCCTGCGGACTCACCACCTGCAGAGGATCAGTGAGGGGCTGGTGCTATGAGACTTGGGTGGCATCTATGATTGCCACCCCCCTGACCCAGAAATGGATTAAAGGTTAGAAAATGGATGTATGGATGGCTTTATTATATTAGCATCAGTTATATATAATATGCTTATATATTAGCATATTATACAAATAATAGTTTGTTTGGGTTAGCATCTTTACTGTATATGCAGCTTATAACTTAAAGATTGTTTATCAAGGAAGATCATAATATCGTATTTTATTTCCTTTTTAAAATGTATTTTCAGTATGAGAATTCTGGTGATTATAAATGTCTGTTCACTGCATATGATGTGCCCTCAATGGAAATGGAAGCCACAGAAACATTGAAGTGTGAAAAAAACCATTGTCAAATCTTCATGTGTTACTCTATGATATTAACTGTGTTTATGTTTCTGTTTCTGTGCAGGAAAACCCCTACATGTGCAACAATGAATGTGATGCCACCACAGAGGAGCTGGCCCACCCTCCAGAGCTCATGTTCGACATTGAGGGCCGTAACCCCACCACCTTCTGGCAGTCTACATCCTGGAAGAAGTACCCCAAGGCACTTTTGGTCAACATCACCCTCTCCTGGAACAAGACAATCGAGCTGACCGATGACATAGTGCTCACCTTTGAGTCGGGACGTCCAGAGCAAATGGTGCTAGAAAAGTCCTTAGATTATGGAAGATCTTGGCAGCCCTATCAGTTTTACGCCACTGACTGCTTGGACGCGTTCACAATGGAGCCCAAAACAGTGCGTGATCTAACCCAGCATACTTTACTGGACATTATCTGCACAGAGGACTACTCCAGAGGGTACGTGTGGAAGTATGATAAAACAGTGAGGTTTGAAATCAAAGATCGGTTTGCGCTGTTCGCCGGGCCACGTCTCCACAACATGGCGTCCCTCTACGGGCAGCTGGACACCACCAAGAACCTGCGGGACTTCTTCACCATCACTGACCTCAGAATCCGACTGCTTAGACCCGCCACAGGAGCCACAATGGTAGACGAGGGCAACCTGTCTCGCTACTTCTACGCCATCTCTGACATCAAGGTCCAGGGCAGGTAAGAGAGACTGAAATCAAGCGAACTTGACAATGTATCTTTTAAAACGTACTCCTGTAATATATTTTAGATGTAGCTGTGCTTAGAATGCCCCCAGTGAGACAAATACATAATTATTATTGGGGTTTATTCAAATATATTGAACAACATGCATACAGTGCTTGAAGGTTATGGGTTCGATTGCCCCATGAGACCTACTCCATCTGCTCCTACTGATGTCTTCCATTGGTCTGTACACTTAACCCCACTTTGCTTTAATCTCCCACTGAAAGTTAAAGTTGCTATACCCGATTTTCTTTTTATTGAGTCCATAAAATGCTTATTACTACATACACGCTGTATTATAATCCGTAATTTAATTGAAACCTTAATTCAGCTTGTGTATGAATTCAGGTCGTAAGAGAGACGGCCACTCTCCTCCACTCAGAGAACGAGCCTCTACAGCACTGGTAAACACAGTAGCATGTTAGAAGAATTGGCTCTACCTCCTCTTGCTGTAACTGCAGACACAGCAAAACAGCCCAAACGACACAACAGTGAGGAAGAGAAGAGGGAACTAAAGCGAAAAAATTATCAAAGAAGAAATCAAGCCCGGGTGAACAAAGTTAGCTTACATCGTATCCTCTGGAGAGACTTTTCTATGGGAGAGACCTGTGGGACCGCCTCGGACTATCTATGCTCGGACTACATTTGGACACGGAACTAGCGGTAAATCTTTCAGTTAAATATTTTGTTAGCAGTGCGTTGCTTTTGTACCATTTCATCAGTGATTGTTGTACAGCTTACAAGAAGTTGCGCTCATGCTCATGTTAGTATATAGATCGCAAATAAAACTAGATGGGACTGTGGAATGAGAGCGTAGGGGAAATGAGAAGCCTGTGAGCGAGTTGAGGGGCGGTGCTAAACATTCAAACCTTGCAGAAACGGGTATGCCTTCTTAAAAGGCTATGCTGTTGTTGAGAGCAGCCATCCTCCTGTGGACTCACCACCTGCAGGAGGATCAGTGCCCTCACTGGTCCTCCTGCATGTGCACTGTGAATTGGGTGCGGCTCTGATTTCCACCATCCCAACCCATGTGGATTATAGGGATGAAAATGGATGTATGGATGGCTTACAGTGCTCATCTTTGCCTCACAAAAGTCACAAAATAAGAAACCACATTATTTCCCTCTATAATGTAGACAATTTACAAAGCTTTGGCATGAAATAAGTTTTTTGACATATAGTGTAACATTCTTGGATATTAAATATAACCTTCAAACAGAAAAGTTACATTGCAACTAAGAATAGTAGTAATAATTAATAATTATAATTCTTACACAAATCAATAGCAATCAACCGGGTGCCACAGTGGGGCATGTCTTTGATACCATGGATGGTCCGGACCAAAGTAGTGAGCGTGACACAAACAGTGACATCGGAAAGTAAACTCTATTTACTCTCTTCTCGAGGCAAAAGTACTTCCCTATTAAACTCCATAGTTAATATTCCATTCCTATATAAAGTGCATGAGTACTACAATACTACATTATTCTCATTACAATGAGTTTTCTTCTTTTTTTTCCCGCTTTTACAACCCATGCAACAACAACAAAAGTGTTTACTCTTGCTGTTTGTCCCATTAGGATCGGCCTGTGTAATGACGTTCAGAGTTCACTCATTGTCAGCATGTCTTGATTAACCAAGCTGCTTCTGTTCGGCTCAGGTCCTCTGTTTTGGATTCCAAATTCGCTCTACTGTCTCTTCTCTCACGCAGGATAATTGGAGTTTTGGGTCAGCGCACATTGTAATTAGTGTTTGATATACTGCAAAGTTCAAACATGGAAACAAGAAGCTGTCATCATCTTTAGCATCTTTAGCAGGAATGGTAAACTTGAGCGTCACCGTAACTGAAGCAGTGGCGGAGCCAGAGGGGTAGCCAGGGTGGCCACTGCCACCTCTAAAATTACCCTTGCCACCCCCAGTGCCCCCCTTCGGAAGACGGCAATGTAATATCTTGAAAATCTTCCGCACTTTTTCCGCCGAAAACTAAAAATTCCCACGGTTTCCACCGTCTGTGAACGCACCCCGACTCCGTGTTGAGCCGGCACTTTATGCTAGCGCTTTTCATTGGTTGTTGAACTCACATGTGCCCGAGTCGTGATGAAAACAAAGGGTAAGTTTACATTTGACATAAAGTATAGATACACGTACTGCAGCGCCTAATTGCACATTGTGTCATTGCCCTCTTCCCTTTAGTGTAAACATGAAAACAAAAGGAGGAGACATTGCGTATTTTGTAAAGAAAACGGCTGTAGATCAGGATGACTCCTCACCTGAAGGTCAGACTCGGAGGCAGTTTGTTTTGAGAATTTTCCTGACGAGGAATTTGTTGTGTTGTTTAAAATATAGCTTATATAATTCAGTTTCAGAGGATGAGAGGGAGTCGCAGACAGGTACAGACATTTCTTTTGAGGAAGAGGAAATACAAGAAGCAGCTTCTGAACTCCCCACAAGCTCCAAAGCAGCTTATTCTGTACCAAAAAGACCAAGTGGTAGGCCTGATGCACAGTGCACACATTGAACAATTAGGTTAGGACTGAAGTTGGAAACAACAACAGTTTGTTATACGTAGTTAATATGTGTATTTATTTACATAAAACAATACTACTTAATTATTATTGCAGACATCTCAAGATCCAGGAAGGCCCGACTACTGCTTGTAGTTTCCAAGTGTACTCAGTTCACTTTATATAAATAACTAAGATAAGATTAAGATTAAAATGTATAATTTAGCCAGTTTTTGTGTGAAATAAAATTTCTTAATGGTATAAATGTGGACCCCTTAAAAAAAACCTTGGCCACCCTGTGTTTAAAAGTCTGGCTCCGCCACTGGACTGAAGACCGATAGAAAACATGAGTGGGAGTCTTGTGGAGCGATCAAACCCATAACCTTCAAGCACTGTATGCATCTTGCTCAATATATTTGAATAAACCCAATAATAATTATGTATTTGTCTCACTGGGGGCATTCTAAGCACAGCTTAATCTAAAATACAGGAGTACGTTTTAAAAGATACATTGTCTAGTTCGCTTAAGTCACTTAGAGACGGGAATGAGCGCTGTGTATGGAACGAGGGACTCTCTTCTGTGTGTGCGGAGGAGGAGCAGCGACTCCTGTGTGTGAGCGGAGAAGGAGGAGGAGCGAGACACAGGTGTGTGTGCTGCTATTGCTGATGTTTAGTCCGAATGTACACATCAAAAACGTATTATAAAAGCCCTAGCAAAGACCGTATGCCCAGTTTTAGTGCTCACTGCGGGTGCAGTGGATTTTGGGCATAAAAAGCGTATGTTGTGGTCAGAGTTTATGGAGGAGGAGGAGGTGCGTATGTTGTGGTCAGAGTGTGTGGAGGAGGAGGAGGAGGAGCGTATGTTGTGGTCAGAGTGTGTGGAGGAGGAGGAGGAGCGTATGTTGTGGTCAGAATGTGTGGAGGAGGAGGAGGAGGAGCGTATGTTGTGGTCAGAGTGTGTGGAGGAGGAGGAGGAGGAGCGTATGTTGTGGTCAGAGTGTGTGGAGGAGGAGGAGGAGGAGGAGGAGCGGTGTTGTGGTCAGAATGTGTGGAGGAGGAGGAGGAGGAGCGTATGTTGTGGTCAGAGTGTGTGGAGGAGGAGGAGGAGGAGCGTATATTGTGGTCAGAGTGTGTGGAAGAGGAGGAGGAGGAGCGTGTGTTGTGGTCAGAGTGTGTGGAGGAGGAGGAGGAGGAGCGTATATTGTGGTCAGAGTGTGTGGAGGAGGAGGAGGAGGAGCGTATATTGTGGTCAGAGTGTGTGGAAGAGGAGGAGGAGGAGCGTATATTGTGGTCAGAGTGTGTGGAGGAGGAGGAGCGTGTGTTGTGGTCAGAGTGTGTGGAAGAGGAGGAGGAGGAGCGTGTGTTGTGGTCAGAGTGTGTGGAGGAGGAGGAGGAAGAGCGTATATTGTGGTCAGAGTGTGTGGAGGAGGAGGAGCGTGTGTTGTGGTCAGAGTGTGTGGAGGAGGAGGAGGAGGAGCGTGTGTTGTGGTCAGAGTGTGTGGAGGCAATGACAGATACGTTATTTGATGGGAAAGAAGTCTGTCTGATCCCCTTATCATCCACAATTAACATGTGTTGCTTAAGCTTCAGTCCCATATTTAAATTTTGTTGTTGGTAAGATTAGACAGGTACGGTTTCTTTATTACTTGAGAAAAGTTGAAAAGATGCCAGGGAGCCATAATAACCCATACAAATAAACACATTATAGAAACCCAAACCTGGAGACGAATATCCCAAATTCCCCATTTATCCCCCCCTCCCTTCCCTACCATGTCCTGCCACCCAGGCAAGACCTCCCCCCCTTTAACATTCATTCTTCCTATTTTGATGTTTTAACAACCCGAGTGAAATCTCCTTAATCTCTCTCTCTTAAGCTTATGTATTCAGCCATTATTCAATACTAAAAATCCATGTGAATTACTTCTCAATGTTTTCAGGTCAAATATTGGTATGCAATTAAAATACGATTAATTAATTACAACGCCTCTAACTAATTTGATTAATTTATTTAATTGAGTCCCTGCCCTAGTGATTTTTCAATGTAGCATATGTGAATATGGGGTCCAGGGGTTGAGAAAGGGGGGATTTAATTACTCGTATTTTGTGGTTCACACACAAGAGACTCCTGGTCTGAACGAGCAAAGTGACACAAACAGGAGACAAGTGAAGGTCTCCAGACTACACAACTCTAAGGATGCAATAAATCTGTAAAAGAGACATTTACAGCCATCTTAATCCTTTGATGGAAATCTAGAGCACCAGTATTTGTCTTTTTCGGACACTATCACACAGGGCATCAGCAATACATTTTCTGAGCAACTATTAGATTTATTACTTTTCCTGTCATGTAGAAAGACACTTATGATGGACAAGGGCTGGGCAATAAAAAGATAACGATATATATCGCGATAGCCATGTGTTCGATATCAATAGAATATCGGGTTGATAGAA